GGCATTTGAAGGATTGGCTAGGGCTTCAAGATCTTGATTTGGGACATCAAGAATTATTTCAATGTTACTTCCTTTGAGGGCATTAAAGACATTTGTATGTGGATAGTAAATTCTCATTTTCTTGATGTTATTAGCATTATATAATTTGATGACATCTTGATCTGATGGTAAATTATTGGCAATTTTTCCATAGCATACTCCGATAGGCTGCGCTCCTACATTATGACAAAAAAAAAGAACATCAAAATAATAATAGCAACAATAATAATGCCTCAATGAAAACAAGTCGATGTCGATAATGTGAATCTTTAGTACTGACCATTATACACAATATAAAACACTAAAAATACTCTAATGGTTGGTTAATAGATCCATAAATAACTTATTTGTAGATGTCACAATTGCGTGAGGTTATTAAACCTATATTTTTTATGTCCTTATCAATAGGGCCTACTGCACCTTCCTAGAACAAAAAATTACATATATGTAGTGTTATTTAATAGGACATTTATAAGTAAATATATGCATGCATGAGACAAGTATTGGTATAATTTATTTGAACTCAGTACTTCTAACGCGGGGCATAAGTACATGTATAAAATGTTACTAAAATTGAAACAAATAGTAGGTCAGGACCCAAAATTTTAAATATAACAAGCTCCGTACTAAAAAGCTTAAAGATTGAAGTGTGTGTATATAAGAAGAGAGAGACCTGTAATTTGGATTAGCAGCCCAACAAGTAAAAGGGAAGCTACAAGAGAACTTAGAAAAGCCATAGCAAAATTGGAATTGAGAAGAGTAAGAAATAGTTAGAGGTGAAATTGTGTGTTAAGGAAACATAAAATTGCTTCTTTAAGAAGAAGAAGACCAAGAAAGGTAGTGTGGAAAAAAGCCAAGTCAAGTTGCCCTATGAAGAAGTTTAATGAATAGTAAAATTTTGTCAAGTAGAATAACCAAGTCCAAGTGGAGATGAAGAAAGTTCAAATCTAGTGGTAGGTGATGGAAAATAAAAAATAAATGGTTGATTCCATTTAATATATGGAAAACAGCCAACAATGTGAAGTTGAGTAACTTAATTTGCCTTCATGTTAGGAAAGTCTTGTGTTTTTCCCTTTGGTTCCTAAATGAGCTTTAACTTAAACGACAACATATGTATGCATATCTTATCTCTATCTTTGCAGGATAGAGAACTTGTTTCAAATAGACTCCTGCTATAGTCAATCTTTAACACCTTCTCACTAATATATACATCCTCGCTCCTAGTCTTCATATATCTGAATCATCTCAACCTCGCTTCCATTATCTACTCTATCACGGATATGTATCCTCATCTTATTCCGGCTTGTATAACATTGTTTTTAATCATGTCTCTCTTAGCATATATGTCCACCCATCCATCTGAACATCCTCGTATTTGCTAGCCTCATCTTTTGAACGTGGACATTCTTGATTGGCTAGCACTCAGCTTCATATAATAGTGTTGGTCTAACCGCCACTCTGTAAAAGTTATCTTTTAATCATTGGTGACACATTTTTATCACACGTTAATACCCTAGTGGCGAGCTTCTATTTCACTCACACCGGTCCAATACGGTGTGCAATATCATTGTCAATTCTTAGTTTCCTTAAATTATAGACTTAACGTACTTGCAGTTTTCTCTCTTGAGTACATTGCTAGTGTATTGATCTTTACTTCCACCTCTACCTCATGCCTCACATCACCAAACTTGCACTCTGGGTGCTCTATCTTTGTCATGCTTAACCTTAAACCTTTAGACTCCATGGGCGCTCTCCATACTTTAAATCTATCATTAACTCCACTACACGACTCATCAAACAATACTATGTCATCTACAAATAACACACATCTCAACACCTCCTTTTAAATATATAATGCCAATATATTCATCACTTAGGCATAAATGAATATGCTAAGGGTTAATCCATGGAGTAATCTCTCACTGTCCTAGCTCAGGTTTTGTCTCCACATACATGTCTTTAATAACCTTAATGTAAGTCATAAATACACCTCTAGACTCCAAGCATCTCCAAAAGATCTCCTGGGCGACTTCATCATATATCTTCTTAGGTTAATAAACACCATGTGTTAGTACTCCCTCTTTTTGTTTCTATGTATTGATCCAACAATTTCTTATAAGATGGATGGCTTTTGTAGTCGAACGCCCTAACGTAAATTTAAATCGGTTTTTCTCTGCAACTTTATTTTGACCACAAACTTTTTAAAAATATATATTATTAAATTGTATATTCCGTTAAATACCATCACATAATTTAACACGGAGAGTGTAGACAAGAAGAAGAGGGCAAGGAAGAAAATGTTAATTAAAAGTATAATTTTGTATAGAATACCAAGGCATACCCCGTGAAGCACTTCATGAAATATTTTATTAAGTATATAGCAATATAAAATTTGTCCATATGAAGAAAATATTAAAATATGTAGAAAGTTCAAATGATGGAGTCAATGAATTGTACGATAATGAATGGCTGGTTCCATACAATACGAGGAAAAAGCTCAAATTGAGCATAATTTTTCTTTATTTTTCATGTACGACATTTGATACTTGTATTAAAGTTTAATTAATTTAATTTTCAGTCAAGTAAAATTAATTTTAAAATTAATTATTCTTGTTTATTATTTATTTCTTCCTTTCTTATTCATTTTTCGTCTTCATCAAATATGTGATAAGGCACAAGTAGATCCTACCTTATGACCGAAATTACAAAAACACATCTTAATTAAACTAAAGTTCTATTATCCCCCCTCCCTCCCTAATTTTTTTTTTTTTTTTTTTGTAATTTTGTACACATTTTTGGCTTACATGGCATCCAAACATCTCTCACGCGCCTCAACTACGTGGAGTCACAAAGTGTGCCACGTAAGCCAAAAGTTGTGTAAAATTACCAAAAAAATGAGTTTGGGGTTAATAGGACCTTAGTTTAGTTAAGGTATGTCTCTGAGATTTCGATCTAGTCTAGGGATAGTTGTGCCTTTATCGGGTTAACACCTCAGATGGTCACTCAACTATCCAATCTTTTCTCAGTAAGTCACTCACATGGTGACTTTTTAGTGAAAATTAAAAGTTGAGTGACTTTCTGAGGCAAAAGTGGATAGTTGAGTGACCATCTGAGGTATTAACCCTGCCTTTATCTCAACTCTGTATCTTTTGCTAATAATAGTAAATTGGGTAAAACACCTAACTACGGGTAAGATAAAAAAATAAACTAATATCAAATCTAATTGGAAATTCCACTGCTATGATTTATCATATCAGTTATAAATCTTAATAAATCAGTTGGTTAACTATTTATAAGGTTTCAACTCTCTATCTTTTAATTTCGTCTCCCATTTTCTTTTTCTCTATATTTTTTGAAAAATAATTATTTCACACAACCTCATTAATGAAGACAATTTTCTTTTTCTCTATATTTTTTGAAAAATAATTATTCCACACAACCTCATTAATGAAGACAATATCAATCACGAGACGATGAACTTGAACAAAACGCCATATTTACTTGGCTCATCTAGAAAAAAGTCATACTTTTTGCCCTATCAATTTGTGCTAATAAAATAGTGCAGTTTGTTAGGTAGCATGATTGACTGATTAGACATATAGAATTATGGATGCTCATTTAATACTACTCCGATTTTTTTTTTAATAAGCTTGCAATCAAGTATGACTCAAGTAAGTATGGCTTGCAATTAGAAAGTCCTATGGTAACTTTCTAAGAAATATTGCAATCAAGGCAAGTAGTTTATGCAGACAGCGCTTGCAATCAACAAACATCTTATAGCAAATAAATAACTTGCCAAAATAATTTATGCAAACAACTTTCAAAAAAGTCTTGTAGCAACTTTTTGAAGATACCTTGTTATCAAGCTAGGCGCTTACAGAATAATCTTAAAAATCGTAACAAATTTTTTTCTTTAAGGGTAAAATAGAAAACTACATCAATTCATTTTGATTTGTACATCAAATTCTTTCTTTCTTTTTTTTTTTTCCTCTCTGGAATATTATTTCTCAACTTCTCTTGTTGTCTTGTATTTTTATTATTATTTTATAACAAATACTATTCAATTTTAGCTAATGAAGATGTGGGGAACATCTAGTTCAAGACTTTTCAAGTGAATATAGAAATATCATATGTGCATACAAAAATTGTACCTAACTCACAGTAGTATATTCAAAGGTTCAAATTAATTTCTAGAATATATTTATAGAATACAAAAAATCTGAACTTATTAAATAGTATAATTTTTTTATTAAATAAGATTCGGGTTAACCCTCTTGGCTCAAGCTCTGCCCCAAGACCAGACGTGGCTTATTTTTGGTGGTTTCCTTGATCATTTAGCTCGAAATTCACTTAATTATTAAAATACACCAATATAAGCACAATCACTTAAATTAATACTTCAAAAAAAAAAAGACAAATAATGAGTAAATATGTGTAAGTTCTTTTTATCAAAATAGACCTAATTGTATTTTCATGTGTCGTGTTATGATAATCTAATAAACATTCATCATGCAAATATATTAAATACAATCCATTTCTTTCCTTGTACTATTATACCTCCATCCCTTTTAGGTTAGAATTTGTGCAAAATTTCTTTAATTTTGACAAAATTGCACTATTATACCATGTAGTGCCTCACTTGGTTGGACTCTCCAACTTTATTTTTGTAGCTATAGTAAAAAAAAAAAAAAACAGCACTATCGAACAAAAAAAAAAAGGGTTTTTGATGTTTTCCTATAAAAGAAGTAATAATAAAATGGTTTTTTGATATACGATTTACAGTTCCAATTTTTTTTCTATGGCTCTGTGCTACATTATTTTTTTTATCAAAGTGGCCTGGTTGCAATTATCTTTGTACTTGTTGGGCTGTTGATGTGCAATGTCCAAATGACAGGTCTTTTTCTTTCTTTCTCTTCACATACGTACACATGCGATAAATGCAAATTCATTAATTAGAATTGTTGAATTTAGAATTGTTATTGATCGATTGTATATATACTTATTTCTATCTTTTTTTCATATGTATATATGGTTCTAGTTATATTTATGTTAACTCTGGTTACTCGGATCATATTATATCTTTTGATTATTGTATGGTATTGTTATAAGAACCGAATATAAAACTATTTTGTTTTTGTCTAACAATCTTTTTTCGCTATTTCCTTGTTGTATATGATTTACTTGAGTCGAGACTCTATTGGAAACAGTCGTTTTAACTTCATAAGGTAAGAGTACATAGATTGTGTGCATACACACCATGTTCCTAAAATTTTATTTGTGGAATTACACTGGATACGTTTTTGTTGTTGTTGTTTTGACTTTATTTTCTCTTTCTTTTCCCCTAATATTGGAGTGTGTTTTGACATCATTTTCTCTTTCTTGTTTCTTGGCTATGATTTACTTCAGTCGAGACTTTATCGAAAATAGTCTATTTACTTTCACAAGATACGAGTAATTAAGGCTACGTACGTACACACATCTTCCCCAAATTCTACTTGTGAAATTACACTGAATATGTCATTATTGTTATTTTGACACGATTTTCTTTTTCTTTTCCCTCAATGTATAGGAGCATATTCTAATATTCGAGTATGCTATGGAAAAATTGCCAACAATTTACCATCAGATCAAGATGTCATAAATCTATACAAGGCCAATGGGATCAGAAAAATGAGAATTTACTATCCAAATACAAATGTCATCAATGCTCTCAAAGGAAGTAGCATTGAAATAATTCTTGATGTCCCAAATCAAGATCTTGAAGCCTTAACCAATCCTTCAAATGCTAATGGTTGGGTTCAAGATAATATATAAAAGTATTTTTCAGATGTTAAATTCAATATATATCTATAGGTAGGGGTGTACATAACCGGATTGGTTCGGGTTTTTCAAATATCAAACCAAATCATTTGTGCAAAATTTTTAGATTTATAAACCAAACCAAACTAATAAAATTCGGATTTTTTTGGGTTTTTCAAATACCAAACCAAACCATTGTGTCGAATTTTTAAATTTATAAATCAAACCAAACTAATAAACCTCAGATTTTTGGATTTTTTCCGTAAAGTTTGCATACAAACATATAATTAACTTGTGCTCCAAATATTTCTTTAGTCCAACCAAAATACAATTATCTAAGGTGTTTCTTAAGAAAATAGCACAAAATATGAAATGAGTGATGACACTAAAATATTCAATAAAAAATAATATTGAAATCATCATATAAAATAAATATTGCAAAGTCATAATGAAAATGATCATTATTTAAAAGTACTAAATCATGCTAAAATAAGTTTAATAAGTATTAGTTACATTACTAAATATTTAAGGAAAATTAAAATTAGATTATGTATTTTAATTGTCTAAACCAATGTAAAACTAAAAAATCAATATTCAATATTATTGTCATTCTTAGTGTTGAATTGATTTTCTTTTTGCATTAGTATTAATTTGATTTTGATTTAAGTTTTATTATAATTATCAACATCTATGAACTATAATCTTTATTGGACCATTCCGAATTCTAAGTTTTAAACTTGAAATAATATATTAAAAGATAAAAACTATGAAATAGTATAAGAAATATTTTAAAATTATATCAATGTAAATATTTTTATGTATAAAATAAAATTTTAAAATTACATATATAATGTTGGGTTGGTTTGGTCTCGGGTTGGGTTTTTTTAGTTAAAACCAAACCAACCCAAATATAGTTGGTTTTTTTTTTTTCCAATACCAAACAAAGTCAAACCAAACCACTAGTCAGGTTTTTTGTTCGGTTTGACTCGGTTTGCGGTTTGGTTCGATTTTCGGTTCGATTTTGTACACCCCTATCTATAGGAAATGAAGTATCTAACGGTCAACTTTCGCAATTTATTCTTCCCGTGATGAAAAATGTTTACAATGCGTTATCAGCAGCAGGGTTACAAGATAAGATCAAGGTCTCAACTGCAACATATTCAGGGTTGTTAGCCAACACCTACCACCCAAAGATAGTATTTTTCGCGAAGAATTTAAGGGTTTCATTAACCCTATAATTGAATTTCTAGAGCGAAATAACCTTTCAATTTTAGCCAATATTTACCCTTATTTTGGCCATATTTATAACATGGAGTGATATTTCTTATGCACTTTTCAACCAACAAGGTGAAAATTCGATAGGATATGAAAATCTTTTCGATGCCCTTTTGGATTCTACATATATTTTGCTATAGAGAAGGCTGGAGGACCAAATGTGGAGATTGTTGTATCGGAAACTGGCTGGCCTTCTAACGGACACCCTTCAGCAACTCTCGAAAATGCTCAAATTTATTATAGGAATTTGGTTAATCATGTAAAAAGCGGGGTTGGAACACCAAAGAAACCAGGAAGGATCATAGAAACTTATTCATAGTCAAGCATCTGACGTGCATTTTCTAACTGACCATTTTTAACCAATTCCTTCAACTGGGAATTGATTGCTAGCATGTTTGTTGGAGGAAATTCATGGTATTCCTGCATCAAATAATAGCTTTTGTTCTCCACAGCCAAAAAGTCTCCCCATCCAGCATAAGACCAAGAAGCCTTATTGATATCATACCACTTCAGAACTAGCTATTTAACTCTGCCTAGAGTTAGACACCTGATTTTTGACCGAATTTGAAATTTTAGTGCTTAAAAATAGGAGTGTGACACCTGCATCAACCAAAATTAGCTATGTAACTCGCATGTTTTATTGTCGAATTTGAGAAAAAAAATGTTTTTTTAAATGAAAAAAGATATTTGAGAATTGATTTAGTTGTATTTGTTCATGAATATAACGTAAAATTGGTTTTTACTTTTTGTGAGTCACTACAAGTGAAAAACAACTTGAAGTTGTTATTTGAAATTTTATAACCATACACATAAGTTCATGTTCAACTCTAGAAAAAAAAAAAAATTCATGATCAGACACGTTCTCATAAGGTGGGATTAATTAGTTTTAAAATTAAAATTTGCTAGTGACTGAATTGTTACGTAGTGTCCTAGTTTTATAAGTTCTCATAAACGGTTTTAGTGGGTTTGGTAGGAAGAGAATTTTTTTTTAATAAAAATAATTTTAAAAAATAAGTAGAATTTTTATTTAACTTTTTATATTTGGTAGTAAAAAGAAAATATTGAACATTAAGGTATAAATATTTGATCAAATACTATAACACCTACTTTGATCCAACACACAACTCCCAACTCCAATTTAGGATCCAATTCCTGATTCCGGACCCGACAAGTAAAAGCAAATGGAGGAAGTAACTGTTTGCATGTTATAGTGTTCTTAGTTTTTTTGAAACTTCCATGAATCAAAATATCAAGTGTAAATTGAAAGTATCCATGTTTGAAATTAGAGTTCAATGTACATCAAAATACAGTAAGTACAAACTGCAAGTCTCCATCTTTTCTGCCTTACTCAGTTATTTCAATTTGAAAATTAAGCAGTACTAAGAAAAAACGGTGTACTTCTTTAATGTTAAAGAAAAGTATTGAAAGTACTCCCGGATTGGGTTCAAATTATTAGTTTTGTTTCTAAACTATTGATAGTCTTAAAAATTGGTAAATAAAATAAAAATTCTTTATAAATTACTTGAAATTTGTTATAATTATATATTTACACAGTAATTCTAGGTACTTAATCAGGTTGAATATAACATAAAGTCAAATGGATTTTTAAGTATATATAACATATATTGATATCAAGGTTACACAATATATAGGCCGTAGATTTGTCAACACATATTAATTATAAGGTATGTGCTATCATTTTATTGAGGAGAAAGACATAAATTTCTCCTTATTATTCATAGCACTATATATATTAATTATAATATGGTATCATTAATTGAAATTGAGTTGATACTTTGGCCTCTGATCAGGATAAAAGAGTCCAAAATGTTGCTCACTTGATTGTCCATCCTTTTGATTTTCATCAAACATGACGAATAAATAAGTTTCTATAGTCCTTCCTGGTTTTTTTGGTGTTCCAACCCCTCCTTTCACATGATTAATCAAATTCGTATAATAAGTTTGTGCATTTTCCAAAGTTGCTGCAGGGTGTCCTTCAGAAGGCCAACCACTTTCCGATACAATGATCTCAATATTTTGTCCTCCAAGTTTCTCCGTAGCAAAATACATTGAATCCAAAAGGGCATCAAAAAGATTTTGATATCCTGCAGAATTAGTCCCTTTATCGTTGAAAAGTGCATAAGAAAGAGGAATGTCCTTAGTGTTATCTAAGGCTGGGCACTGGAACGGGTTGTACCGGTACCATTCTGGTCCGGTAGTATTCGGGACGGGATGGGATACATTGAACCGGTACACGAAACGGAACGGTACCATGATTTGGTACCGGTATACCGGTACCGGTTCATCCCGGTTCATTTCGGTTCCGTTCCGGTGCGGTCCCGGTAAATCATTTTTAATTAAAATAAAAAATAATATTTTTGTCATTATTTACTTTTATTAGCATTTCTTTTTTGTTTATTTATTTTTTTTTTAAATTACAAACTTAAGTTATTTAACTTACAAGTTTTAAGTATAACTTAATAACTTATAAACTTCAAAAGATTCAAATCTTTAAAACTTATAACATAACTACATAAGCTCAAAAACTAAAAAAAAAACTTTATTAAACTTAACTTACAAACTTATATACGTAAAAATTTAAAAAAAAATCTTTAAAATAAACTTAAGTAAAATTATTATAAATTTTAAAACTTAAATACTATAAACTAATATAGCTTAGAAAAATAAAAAAAACATTCGAATTTTCGTAATTCAAAATAACTCAAAAAAAATAATTATTTTTTGAAATAGCTATATGTGCCGTCCCGTTTATCCCATCCCGTTCCGTTCCGGTCCATTTCGGTCCGTCCCGGTTCCATCCCGGTATATAGTGGGACGGGACGGAACTGAGCCTCCATCCCGATAGTTCCGGTCCGGTTAATCCCGGTACC